TAGACATCATACAAAGCAGAATTTTCACTGATACATCACCTAAGGCAATAGAAACAAAGGAGAAAATGAACACATGGGACTACATCAAACTCAAAAGCTTCTGCACAGCAAAAGATACAATCATCAAAATGGAAAGGCTACCCACTATATGGGAGAGCATAATTGCCAATGATATATCAGATAAGTGGTTAATCTCCAGTATATATAGTGCTCATACAAAACAACAAAAGAGCCCTGGCCGGTTTGGCTCAGCGGTTAGAGCGTCGGCCTGCGGTCCGGAGAGACCCGGGTTCGGTTCCCGCTAAGGGCACGTACCTCGGTTGCAGTTTGTCCCCAGCCCTGGTTGGTCGTGCGGGTGGCAGCCACTCGATGTGTTCCTTTCACATCGATGTTTCCCTCTCTCTCTCTCTTCCTCTCTCTCCCTCCCACTCTGTCTGTACAAAGAATGGAAAAATGTCCTTGGATGAGGATTTTTAAAAAAAAAAAAAAAAAAAAAAAAGAAAGATAAAGAACCCAATTAAAAAATGGGCAGAGGAACTAAATAGACACCTCTCCAAACAGGACATCCAAATGGCTAAGAGACATATGGAGAAATGCTCAACATCGCTAATCATCTAATGCAAATTAATGCAAATTAAAACAACAATGAGGTATCACCTCATACCTGTCAAAATGGCCGCCATCAACAAATCATCAAACAACAAATGTTGGCAAGAGTGTGGAGAAAAGGGGAGTCTAATACACTGCTGGTGGGAATGCAGACTGCTGCAGCCACTATGGAAAACAATATGATGTTACCTCAAAAAATTAAAATGTTTTAACTTCCATTATAACTTCCATTTGACCCAGTGATCCCACTTCTAGGAATATACCCCAAGAAGCCTGAAACACCAATCAGAAAGAATATATGTACCCCCATGTTTGTAGCAGCACTATTTACAATAACTAATATCTGGAAACAGCCCAAATGTCCATCAGTAGACGAGTGGATAAAAAAGCAGTGGTACATATACACAATGGAGTACTATGCAGCTGTAAGAAGGAAAGTACTTTTATCCTTTGAGACAACCTGGAAGGACCTGGAAAGTATTATGCTGAGTGAAACAAGCCAATCGGAGAAAGACAAATATCACACAATATTAATTTTTGTGGAATATAATGAACAAAACCAGCTGAGGAACAAAATCGACCCAGAGACATGGAAGTGGAGTGCAGACTGATCAACCTCAGAAGAGGGGGATGTGGGGGGAGGAAAGAGATAAACCACAGAATTTTACGCATGTGTGTAAACAAGGACACAGACAATAATGCTGGGAGGTGGGGTTAAGGATGGGGAGGAGTGTGTCAATGGTGGGGGGAGGGGAATATCAGTAACAAAAATTGATTAATTAATTAAAAATAAATATTAAAAAAAACAAAAAATAAACAATGAGTGGGGAATGAGGAGGAATAAGTATACAGCCTTCTTATAGAAGAACATAGAAGAAATGGCAGAATGAGATAAATCACCATTTGGCCAATACATATACAATGACTTGTCATATAAGAATCAACACTGGATGATAAATACAGAGGGTGATATTTGAATAAGGAAAACATGTTTATAGAGTATTAAAATATCTGCCCATATGATACCTACCATTACAAGGTTAAATAATAACTTAATAAAAATGGTAACTTTAGAGTAGAGAATCTGGCAGACACCACCTTAGCCAACTGATAAGGATAAAAACATTAGGAATTGGAAAAATTGTTGTCATGTGCCTTGTAATAATATGCTCTGTGGTATAACTGCTGAAAATCTAAGGCTGAAACATATATACATACAAACACCTAGAAGGTAAACATAGTAAAATGTTAATCACTGAAAAAAATCTGTGTAAAGCCTGTCCTTAAATTCTTTTTATTTTTACTTTTTCTTTATTGATTTTATTTTGTTATTATTTTATTTTTGTTACAGATGTTTCCCCTTTTTCCTCCATTGACACCCTCCTCCCGCCCCCAACCCCTCCTCCTGTCCTTTAATTCTTGATATGATTTTTACAACTTTTCTATACCTTTAAAATCACTTTAAAATAAAATGTTGAAACATCCTTTGTCCCAGCTGGAACAATGCCCAAGAAGAAAGAAGTTCAGGGCATGACTGGAATCAAAACACTGTCCCCTAGGACTCCAGTCCCTCTGGCGCTTGGACACCCAGCTCCCCAAAGGGCAGTCAGAAACCAGCCAGAAGCGTGGGGACTTTCACTCAGTCTCTCATTAGTAATTACCTGTTATCTTTGGACTCATTCCTTTGGAGCTGCTTAAGGAAAATGAAAGTGTGTAGAAGTGCCAAGGCCACAGATACTTCTTCTAGCTGTCTGGGTGTTGGGCCTCCTGAAGGAAACCTGAGAGTTGGGCAACAGTCTGGAGCAGAAGGTGTCTGAGGGACCAATGATGGGCACAGGTCAGAGGAGCTGGACATCTGCACTTGGCGATGGATCAGCATGTGTGCTGGTGTGTTCAGGTATGAGACTCAGTGTCCATGATGGTGTGTTTGTGTGTGTCTGCATATATCATGTACACCTGTGTACCTATAATTTTAAAATTGTGTGTGTGCGTGTGTGTGTGTGCTGTGTATCTGACTCACAGCCCTGTATTAGTGCTTATACATCCAGTTATCATCCTCCCGACATGTGAGTAGGGACTCCTGATTCATGTCTGTGATCATAAATATTTGCACAAGTCTGAGCACCGGGAGTGAGACTGTTATCTCTGCTGGGACAAGAAGATGTCCAACCTCATGGGAACCAAGGTCAGGTCAGAGAGGGCTCAGACCTCTGCTCACCAGCGTGTGCTGGGGCACATGTGAGCTGTTTGTGGGTGACACACTCGTGTATGAGGCCAGAATGGAATGGTGTTTGCTTTTTCTGTGTGTATGTGACCATGTGCATGTGGTGTTGGTGGTAGTTTAATGACTGTCCTGTGACTGAATAGGCCTAACTGCCCCATGCTCACTGCCTCCCCAAGGAAGGGAGGGAATCATGTCTGTAATTAATAGGAAGGTGTGTGCTGCTTGTTGTAGTAAGAGTGAACTGTGTGTTCATGTGTGTTGTTGGTGTGTGTTTCTTGTGAGATTTTTGAGTAGTTTGAGGTTTTGTGTGTTTTTGGTGATGTGTCTGTACAGTGCATGAATTATGTCTATGTGGTGAGTTGAGTGTTTACCAGGTGTGTTCTGAGTCAGGTATGTTGTTGTGCATTGGAAGTGTGTTTGTGGGTGAGTGGTCCACCATTGTGTGTTGTGTATGTCTGACATTGTGTGGTACTTACAACTTGTATGTATGCATATGCGTGTTTATGAGCTGACTCACATATTGGTTATTCTTCTCTTAGGATGAAAATTTGGTCACAAGTGACTGACATTCTTGAATCAGCAGAAATAATTTGTGTGTGTGAGGGGTGTCTGATCTGCAGCTGTGACTCAAGTATGTCCTTAACTGTCCTCCTTCTGGGGCACCATGAGCTGAGATAACCACACTCTGAGCAACTCCCAGGGTCTTGAATCAAACTGCTATCATTTCCATGTTGCGAGTGTGAACAAGTCGCTCTGAATGTGCAACCTCTTCTTTACTTTATTGACATCTCAGGGAGGGGGAAATAAACAGCAGGCATCATGCTGTGTGATGTTATTGGGCAGAGTCACCATCAAATAGTGGTGAGATGTTTGGAAATTACGTAAATCCTTGGCCTCAGTTTCCACATGTATAAAATAGAAAGAATTACACTGATTTGTGACTCTTACAGAGGCTCTTAGTAAATACTTATTGTCTATAGAAGGTTAATGTGTTTGAGTACTTATTGTCAGTTGAAAAGTATATAAATATAAAGCAATAAAATGATGTAGTACAGGGACTAAGAAAATTTGGACAATTTATTATCTTCACAGCTTTAAGATAATGCTTGGATCCCTGACACCGAAGGAAAGTTGGCACGTTTAATGGTGAGGAGCCTGGTTTCTGACACAGAGACATATTAGACTGCAGCCCTATGAAGATGTTAGTACTTGGTAATTTTCTATTTATACAAAGTAGTGATTATATATTGTTATATAAGTTCCTTGTCACATATATGATACTTGCAGATATACACAATTGTGTGTGCCATTCTATCTGATATAGAACTGAGTGTGCCTATAGGATTGAGGTCATTTATGTTTCTGTATCCTAAAAGCTACAATAGTAGATAAAAACATATTTTGGGTGCACTATAAAGAGGTTTGAACATCTGGGAATATAGGGCTGATGTGTGGTTTTAATTAGGGAATGTAGGTCACGTCCTTAGTCAAGTACAAAAAATGTTCACCATAGTGGTCGGCATTATAATGAAAGATAGTGTGTGGATATGTGGAGATATACTGGCATCACATGGTTTCAAATGAACACCCATTTCTTGCTTTTCCATAAGTTACAGCTGTGGGTCAATGGGACCCGGCAGGTGCACAGGAGTGTGACTGTGCTCCAACAAGGCCACTCAGCTCTGCAGTCTCATGTTACTTTAAGGCAGAAACAACTGACACCAGTTTGCAGAGACTCAATTTCTATTTCTGCCACAGTGAATTACTACGGTTTAGCGCTGATCTAGTGCAGAAAGTGTCCCTTCATGCTCATCAAGATGCAAACATAACAGTGGGGACCTTGCTTTTCCTGTTCACAGCTGCATCTCAGTCTTAGTAGAGGTCCCGACAATGACTTGATGTTCAATAAACAATGGTGATGAAACAGTGAATGTTCATTTGCTTCTGTGCAATGAGGTCTTGTTGACTGACTTGGGGGTTCTATGATTCCTGAAGCTAGACAGAGATAGAGCAAAGATGCATACATCTACAGGTGTGAGAAATTATTAAGAGTTTAGTTAAAATTCATGTCCCAGCGTATGTCAGTAGGGGATGTGATGGTCCTGGTTGTCCTTTCTAGGTCCCTGAGATTCCCAAACCATCTTCTTTCCCAGCAGAAGGAGAGCAGCATGAGGCCTGAGAACCAGAGCAGCGTGTCCGAGTTCCTCCTCCTGGGGCTCACACTCCGGCCAGGGCAGCAGGGCGTGTTCTTCACCCTGTTCCTGGGCATGTACCTGACCACGGTGCTGGGCAACCTGCTCATCATCCTGCTCATCAGGCTGGACTCTCGCCTGCACACGCCCATGTACTTCTTCCTCAGCCACTTGGCCTTCTCTGACATCTCTCTTTCCTCTGTCACTGTCCCAAAGATGCTCGTGAACATGCAGACCCAGCGACAATCCATCTCCTATGTGGGATGCATTTCTCAGTTGTATTTTTTCATACTCTTTGGTTCTCTTGACAATTTCCTTCTTGCAGTGATGGCATATGACAGGTATGTGGCCATCTGTCACCCTCTGCACTACACCACCATGATGAGGGAGGGGTTGTGTGTGCTGCTGGTGTGTGGCTCCTGGATGGTTGCCTCTGTCCACGCCCTTTGTCATACCCTCCTTTTAGTGCGACTGACCTTCTGTGCTGACATCACCATCACCCACTTCTTCTGTGATCTCACTGCACTACTGAAGCTGAGCTGCTCAGACATCTCTCTTAACATGCTCGTCATCTTTGCAGAGGGAGGATTTCTTTACCTCCTGCCTATGGGTATTGTTTTGGGCTCATATATCCATATAGGAACCATCATACTGAGGGTGCCCTCCACTAAGAGACTGGTAAAAGCCTTTTCTACCTGCGGCTCCCACCTGTTTGTGGTGTCATTATACTATGGGACACTTGCAGGTGTTTACTTTTTCTCCTCATCATGGGACTCCAAAGACATCATTGCTTCGGTCATGTATACGGTAGTTACCCCCATGCTGAACCCCTTCATCTACAGCCTGAGGAACAGTGATATAAAACAGGCCTTAGAAATGTGTGACCGTAGGGTTAACTTCTTTAAGTGGCAATCACGAAATCCTCTTATTGCAGTTAGGAGCACAGTGAGATATGTCTCCTAAAATTATTGTATGGTTGATATCTCCATATAACATTAATAGAGTAAGCATTTTGTCTTCATGTATACATGCTGTTAATATGCCACCTAGGTCAATTTTGTTACTTGGATTAGTAATGATTCTTTATTCCTAATTAATATTTTTCACTTGTTCATCATGTCTTATAAGTTATATGCAAAATCTGATGAATACATATTGCACAATTATAATTGTGAATTTGTCTTTTTTTTTTTTTTTTTGGTGACATGTCGGTTTTTGCTTATGGATTTTTATGCTATGTATGAGCAACACTGATTTACCATCATGATGTCCTCTGGGTGTTTTTTTGTTTTTTGGGGTTTTTTTTTTTTTTTTTGCCCTTTTTTATGCTGGCATCCATTGCTTCAAGCTGAAGGTGCACATCTCTTCCCACCTCACAATCAATGACATCATGTTGCGAACTGCAATTAGCCATGATAAAAATAAGCATACTATGAAAAATGCCATGTGCTACAAAACAAGGCTTTTTTTAAAAGTGAGGAAATTAGCCCTAGCCATTGGCTCAGCGGTTAGAGCATCTGCCTGTGGTCCAGAGAGACCTGGGTTCGGTTCCCACTAAGGGCACGTACCTCAGTTGCAGTTTGTCCCTGGCCCTGGTTGGGTTGTGCAGGTGGCAACCACTCGATGTGTCCCTTTCACGTTAATGTTTCTCTCTCTCTCCTTCCTACTCTATCTGAACAAAAAATGGAAAAATGTCCTCTCGCGAGGATAAAGAAAAAAGCAAGGAAATTGTCTTAAAATGTATTTAATAGCATACAACTGCATTCATAATTTAAAAACATTTCTAGAAAGGTGTCCAACATTAATACCACATCTATTTCTGATATTAGTACAGACACCTTTTATCTATAGCTATAGAAACAGATACAGTTTTAGATACAGACTCAGATAGAGACACTAGTACAGTAGGTTGTAAAGATGCAGCTTTCTTGTGGTTGGTGTTTACATGGCATTTCTTTTCCATCACTTTAAACTTTTCTATGACCTTATATCTGTGAGGTGTACATGGTGAACAGTGTAAAGTTGGATTTTGCTCTTTGTATGTATAGCATTATATTTCTGGGGAATTTTATCTATTGATATCTAATATAATCATAATATATTTAAAGTTATATTTTCCATATTACTATGTTTTTTATTTGATACCTCTATTTCACATTTGTTCTTCACCCCTTTTGGTTCAATAAATACATATTCTGTTATTCTATTCCCCTTCCATTGATTTATTAACCCTACATTATTATAAATATTCTATAATTCCTTTCTATGCTGCATTTACAGATTACATCTTTTATTTTTTTAATTTATATTTCTTGTTGAAAGTATTATGCATGTCCTCCCATGTTCCCCCATCAACCCCTGCATCCTGCTCCCACCCCTCACAGGACTTCACCTCACCATTGTCTGTGTTCATGAATTATTCATATATGTACATAAGTTCTGTAGTCAACCTCTTCCCGAGTCCACAGCCACATTCCCTCTGAGGTTCATTAGTCTGTTTCATGCTTTCAATGTCTCTGGATCTATTTTGTCACCTTATTTTGTACATTACATTCTACATATAAGTGAAATAATGTGCTACCTGTCTTTCTCTGGTTGATTTCACTCAGCATGCCCTTGCAGTTTGTTGATTTATTCATCATAGCCATTCTTGCAGGTGTGAGGTGATACCTTATTGTGATTTTAATTTGCATCTATCTGATGATTAGGGATGTTGAGCATTATTTCACATGTCTCTTGACCAATTGTATGTCCTCTTTAGAGAAGGGTCTATTTAAGTACTTTGCCCACTTTTTAATTGGATTGTCTGTTTTCCTTTTGTTTGTTTTTAATTTTTTTCATTAACAAAAATAAAGACAATTTTATTAGCATACATGAGAAAATAAACCACATTTAAGCACAAACATAAAAACAATGGACTTATTTTTCCATCGTCAAGCTTGTTCTTTTTACTGGTTTCCTCCATATCAAAAGTGAATGGTTTGTCATAACCCATTACATGGTCATAGTCTCTGGAGTTTGGAAAGATACCTGGATTGACTAACAGTGAGGTGTTTCAGCGGAAGTTCCAGGGTTTGGAGCCTCAGTGGAGCTGGGACTTTAGGCCTCACCCTGCTGAGACCAGCCACATTGAGAGATCAGAGAGCAACAGAGGGGTGATTTTCAGCCTTGCCCTGCTTGGTTTGGCAGCATGGTGGTGCCAGGGATTGGCAAGGAACTGGAATTTTCAAACTGTGTCTCTAAGAGAGGCTTTGTCTCAGAGACTGAGGGGGAAATGCAGGGCTCCACCTGCAAGTTCAGCCTGTGCTACCCCAGGAAGGAGAAACATTACTCACCACCCTCCTATAGGATGCACACACCATTTGCAACAGGAGACTGTTTGAATCATCCCTGCCTGGGCCTGGATACCCCTGCTGGCTGAAGTTTTATGGGAGGAAGAAAGAGTGGCTCAGTGTGGGGACATTCAAAGTGTGAGACCCTTGAGGACTGTTGTGTGGAACCAGGAGGAAGAGCTTAGCCCCCTCCTATGGGCTGGGCTGGCATTGTTGTCAAGAACATACCCTATTGATCTATGCCCCTGAGCCCAGGGAGTCTCAGCTAGCTCCTTCAAATGGGATAGATGGCTATAGACAAACTGAACCTGCATCAAGCCACCCTGGAAGGAACTAGCGTTGGAGACCCTGGCAGAAAATGAGGGGTTTGGCTTTAAAGCAAGGACTACCTTCTCCTCACTGAATGCCTCACCAGGGATCCCAAAGTAGGTGCCCTACTAGCTCTGTCTTGGCCAGCCTAAGTACATCCTACAGCCTCTGTGCAAAAGGCTCTAGAGAAAGACCAAGCAATCTTAGGTGGAAGGGAAAATGGTTTGCAGGTAGAGGCAGACTTTCAGGAGTCTGAGTCCTATCACAGATCAGCTCCCAACTATAAGCTGAAAAAAGTCAACTGATTGGCCACTTGCATGCACACACAGATCCACTAGACACAGACACCAACAGTGAGCAGTGTAGTAGCTACAGAACAGTAGCTCAACACTGGCTACACACCATGTCTGACAATAACTGGTCCTGGATGTCTCCCAAGTGAACCCAGAATCAACACAACCAGCTGAGAGCCTCAGACCACATCAGAGCTCAGTCAAACTAGCCACACAGCCTGCACTCCCAGAGGTACATCTTGACAGGCACCAAGATCCTTCTGTTGCTAGGAACAACTATGCCTCAGGGAGCAGGACCTGCACAACATCTCATACACAGTGATCAAGGTATACCCTTATAGTCACCAAACCTGAAGGGATAACTGCACCTGCAAAATGGCCAACAGAAATCAAACCTCAGCTACAACAAAGTGTGCACATAATCCACAACCGACATTCCTAGAGCACCCGGCTCAGAAGATCAAGGACAGTGCCCTACTGGGTTCCACAAAATACATACTACATAAAGTCCACCTCACAAACACTGGGAGTCATAGCAGTTCTATCTTATACATAGAAACAAACACTAGGAGACAGCCAAAAAGGGGAGACAAAGAAACAGGCCCTAAATGAAACACACACACACACACACAAACACACACACATAACACAGGAGGAATCTCATGAAAAAGCCAAATGAAATGGAGGCAAGGAGTTTATCAGATACAGAGTTCAAAGTAAGGTTACAAGGATGCTCAAGAAACTTTATTAGAACTATATCAGCATAAATAAGGACATAGAAACCATGAAAAAAATAATCAGTTGGAAGAATACCATATCTGATATCAAGAATAGACAGGAAGGAATAAAAAGTAGGTTGGATGAAGCAGAGGATCAAATCAGTGATTTGGAAGACAAGGCAGAAAAAAATTCCCAAACAGAGCAACAAAAGGAAAAAAAGAATTAAAAATAATGAGGATATTTTCGGAATTTTGGTATAATATGAAATGTAACATCATCTGCATCATAGGTGTACCAGAAAGAGAAGAAATTGGACAAAGGACAGAGAACCTGTCTGAAGAAATAATGCCAGAAAACTTTCCTAACCTGGTAAAAAAAAAAAATAGAAGTCACACAGGTTCAGGAAGCACAGAGAGTCCCAATAAAGACCAACCCAGGAAATACTCACCAACACTCATAATTAAAATGAAAAGGTTATAGACAGAGATGCTTAAAGGAAGCAAGTGAGAGACAGTTACCTACAAGGAAGTTCCCATAAGGCTGTTGGCTGATTTCTAAACAGAATTACTTCAGGTCACAAGGCATTGGCATAAAGTATTCAAAGTAATGAAAACCAATGACCTGCAACCACGACTACTCTGTCCAGCAAGGTTATCATTTAAAATGAATGGCAAAATAAAGAGATTACGACATCCAGTCAAGATGATGGCATAAGTAAACACGGTATCACCTCTTCCCACAACCACATCAAAATTACAATGAAACTACAACACAATCATCATTCAGAACCACCTGAAATCAAGCTGAATGGAAGTCCTACAACTACAAAATTAAAGAAGCCATCACAACAAGAATCAACAGGGCGAGGCCAACAGTGTGAGCCAAGTTGCTCTGAGGGGAGGCAGCTTGAGGGGCACAAGAGAACAGGGAAGAACTGAGCTGTTTGGCCTCCAGATGATGGCTGGAGGGGCAGCTTTCTTCTGGAAAGACCGTTGGAGGCCATTGTTCTTTTGATGAGCCCTTCCCTACAGGGTAGAAGGTGCAGAGGCAGGCTGGTCCCACACCCATGTGTGGCGGATAAAAATCAGGAGAGACCTCAGCTGGGAAGTTCCTCCTGAGAAGTGAGGGGTCCCCATCCACACCAGGTGCCCGGCTCAGGGTCCCAGTGCCAGGAATAAAAGTCCCATAACTTCTGGCTGGAAAAACTAGCAGAAACTGAGGCAGAGGGAGGCTTCGGCTGTGGAAGCCCCAACAGTTCCTTTTAAAGAGCCCTTGCACGGACTTACTCAGACTTACTCTCTCTGAGCTC